GTCAAGGACACATAAAATCTTGTATTTGAAATTGAGTCTTCTAATAATGGGGTTTACTGCTGATGAAGGAAAAAGAGACATATCAGAGAAGGCACTTCTATTTACCAGGTTCCGGCCCATTCACTACCGCTGTTGGCTAAACTGCTGGAGGACCGTACAAATCGCTTGCAAGGACAACTGCAGCGTATGCACTCGCAAGCCATGAATATATCAGATACTAGCATCCTAGACTGTTTGTTTGAAGACCTACACTGGCTGATCCTGATAGCAGGTATGTACAGTGGGCATGAGCATGGCATCTCACTCCCATGGATTTTGGGACACTGGCTGATCCTGATAGCAGGTATGTGCAGTGGGCATGAGCATGGCATCTCCCTCCCATGGATTTTGGGGAAAAAATTAAAATTAAAAAAGTCAGGAAATATACCAGATATTAATACCAAAAATTAAGATTATTTTCAAAGAATTTTATTGTTCTAACATGAATACAAATCTGCCTAATATTAGGGTATGATGGGTGAGGCAAGTATCATACATGGAGGAAACAAGATATGCAACAAAATTCTGGTTACAGGTATGTGATAATATTTAGTCTTCTTGGATACAGTGGTAGTGCTGTGAGAAGTAGGTTGAAGTTGACATTGAATGGTTCTTTGCCAGGTCACGTGATCTCAATGGACAGTGAAGGGGAGACAGCACTAATCCCATCTGAGATAATGCATTATAGTATTCATCAGGCAAGCTCAGGACAGGTGAATGTTGCAACAACCCTGAAGCTTCTTGCATCCCCAACACATCAGCTTCTGGATATTCCAGGAGCCGATGAATCTTCAGACCATGTCGTGAGGTGATGGGTTTTTCATGACATTCAGTGTCTTGTGGCTTTGTCACATGTGTTACAGTTTGTGGTGAAGAACTAAAGCTTTGTGTTCTGTAATGTTAAATTAATTCAGTGGTACAGGTTCTTCCTTGAGCACATGATGGTTATTTAACTGCTTAAGAATTTCCCTGCTTTTATATAGGTTATGTCAAATTACTAAATCCAATAATTAGGGTAGACCAACTTCATACATTCCATGGGCTGATTTATTGAAGATGCTGTTTCAGATACAGATGTTTTCATAGCATCAGGTGAGATGGAAAGCCAATAATGAATGCTGAGTAGGTATGAATTTGGAAGATGTTGTCATAGCTTATTTCATGGTGTTACTGATGAATTTTTTGTGTTAGAGTAATTAGTAACTAAGCTGAAATTTTAATGAGCTACAAGAGCATAATATTGCCATTATGCTATCCAGCTCACTGATTTTGCTTTTATTAGAAGTATATTTGTTGTGTGGTTGCAGGTTAGTTTCATCAGTATTCCGTTTGTGTGAGGTTGAGAAGAGGGCTGTGGAGGTGAAACTTGGCCGCCTGCTGAGTCCAGAGGTGGGCTGCACCGTCATGTGGTTCCTGCGACGTTGGTCTCTCTCATATCTTCTTCCCATTGAAACTTATTACTCAGAGGTGAGTTGGGTGGCATGCATCCATCCTATTTCATTTGTGATGAAGATGGTAGTCATAGCAGGAGGTCACAAGTGCCTGAGTTTCTGTGGTGATTTGTGCCTCTGATCTGCTTGTTCTTTTCATCATCAGTTGGTTGCAGTGTTACCTGTAATTTTTGAATGACCATCATAAATTTCATATTCCATATTTTTGGAAATGAAAGCTGGTATGTTATTTGCAGAGCAAGATATGTGTAAATTACAAGAGTAAATTTTTATAACTGTCAGTACAAGGAACTCATAGTGTCTCTCAGTTTTGACATTAATCTGTATTTTTGTGGTGAAATGGTGATGATACACATGTATGTGGATATGTACAGGAGAGCTAATGAAGACTGATGGAGTAGAAGTTGATGCATGATCCATGGTCTTTTTTCCTTTGGCATTTGATATTTAACTATACAAGCAATTCCCTTCTGATATGTAACATGAAGGTAAATGAGAATAATCGCAAAAGATCACTACTTGACCATATCCGGAGCCATTTAAATCCAGTTCACATTTTCAGATGAAGCTTATGTCCGTGTCATGACGAAAGTGTGGTGTTTGTATGTGTTTCAGATGAGCATGGCTCTACTGGCAGCTTTTGGGAAAGACACTGATGGAGCGACATGGACAGTGAATTTTCTTCTTAGTAAAGTGGAATCAAATTTGTACTCCTTCAGCTCCGAACCAGCGCTGGTGAAGGACACAGTGAGGTTGTTCATCGCGCTTGTTGACATGAGAGAGAAGTATGTACAGTTGACAAAAGTAAATATACTTTATAAAATATGTTTGTTTGTGCATAATAATTTTTTATCTGTTTGCAAAATTTATAATTCTGGAACTGGTTTGTACAACACAGTGCAAGTAATTGGAAACATTGGGTTTGAAGAATGGGCTCTGACAGTGTCCCTGAAAGGTTATAAAATATCAGGTCAGAGGAGGAGTTTTGAAAGTATCATTGAGTAACCCAAAAATATATCAGCCTGTATTAATATCCAAAAAGATTGTGCTATAGAGTGTGTATGTTTCATGTGTTACAGGGGCAGTGTTGTTTTGAAGAGTGAGGGATTGTGGAACATCTTGCGATTACAGTCTAAAATGGAAAGGAGCGCACTCCTTGGGGCAGCGAAACGAGGTCTGTTCAAGGCTTTAGTTCTGGCAGGTGCAGCTGTGGATGATGCTCAGAGTCGAGGAGAATACTGGCTTCAGGTACAGTGGTTTATTCACCCATCCAAAGGCTTGTTAACTTTATTAAAGTGTAGAGTATCTCGCAGGTCTTGTATTTTGATTTTACCAATTGTGCCTCCTCTGTCGTTCAAAACATGCATGGGACAACATTTGTCCAACCATATAAATTTTTATGTACATTTGAGCACACATTCCTGAGGATTAGTGACCAAACAGGTGGTTGATATTGCAACGGTAGGCTTGACTGTCATAAAAATTGGTGCCTAATGTGGGAATGTTCTGTACATATGATATGACATTAAAAATAATTAAGCATGAGAAGGTTCACCTGGTAAAGGTGATAAAGCAACTGTCTGTCCTTGGAAGAACACTTAAATGGCATAGACAATAAGACTGCATGGAATGTTTGGCTAAAAATGAAACGGGTTTTATGTCATGTAGTCTTCTCACTTGTGTTGCTGTGAGAACTGGAAATCTGGCATAATAGAATAGGTCTTTTGTGGAGAAATTGATATTTCTGTAGAAATATATTTTGATCCATTAATGAAGACCTTTTTAGTTATGTTCATTATAATACACCATCTGTTAAATAATATATTTGGTGGCTTGTGAATAACAAAAGAATCTCTGTGTAAAAGGTGTTATTTACATGCAAAATCTTCTGTGCTATAAATGACATGTTTGAGCCATCATTAGTCCCAAATTTATAAAATGTTTGCTAGGCCACTATTATTAGCATGGACCATAGGGAAGACAGATGTTGGATGATCAATACTAGCTGAAAAGTATTTGTGAGCTAGACAGTGAATTGCACCATGTTTGGCCTTAACAGAAATTAAGAGTAACAGAATTTTAAATTTCAATACAGCATTGTACAATAAACTGGAAATTTTTGGTTCTGATTGGACCCTCACATAACAAAATAAAGAAAATTTCACAAATAAATATCATCCCAGAAAAAAAGAAAAAAGTTTTGAAGTAATCTAAAAAAGGTGGCAAGTTTCTGTGTGTAAAACCTGTAACAGGTCAGCTGGGCCAAATATTGGGAAGGTCAGTAGTATGTTTCCCCAGTAAATTTAAATTTTGCTGTATGAAGCCGGACTGTAATATTTCCCTTGTGATTTGTACTAATTTCCTTCTTTGTGTTGTTGCAATGGTATATCTGGATAGCTATAGAGCCACACAACCTATGTATATATTTATTTCAGGTTTTAAAACCACTACAAGACAGATTTAAAAATGTAATTTGTCAAGAAAATTTCAACAGAATATTTCATGAAGAAAACATTAAAATGGAGATTATCGACATTTTGGAATCATTTATAGGTAAGAATATATTATTTTGCAAGTCATGTTGTCATTACTTTGTGTAACTTTGAGTCAGAATCTGTGCTTAATCTACAAGACAATTGTATCAACTGGGGAGGTATAAAGTTTCTGCCCATGGATTGTCTGTGTTGTAGGAGTGGCGCAGGGTTCACAAGTTGTGACAGTTCAGTCGCTATTTCATTTCCTCTACCCGATGCTGTCTGAGTTTGCAACATTGGTGGGTGTGTACCACAACTACCAGCAGGTGGTGGAGCTCATCCTGGAGCTGTACTGTGAGTGTGCACGCAGTATGCTTTGCTACCTTTCTCAGGTAAGCAGCTAGCACTGCAATGTTGAAATAATGTCATAATTCTGCTTTTTATGCATCTGGTACTGTGTTGCTAGTTCTACCTGTTAGGTTTCTGAAAGCTCTAAGCAGGTTGGTATACCAGTAATGTCAGGGGTGGAGAGTTCATGTTAACTGTGTTGGCCTTGCTAACACTTTTAAAATCGAAAAAAATCTCCTTTCTCACTTTTGTGGTTAAGTGGTATTCTAGCTCAGGACTTGTAACTGGGCATGATCTTCCAGTTCAGTGGCCCAAAAAATTTTCATTTATTTTGGAATGTGGTGGAATGCTATCTTGCTGAAGAATAATTGGCATTCCAATTTCAGGTTCAGTATCATCATCATCATGTAAAAAATGTAACAGTCTGATACATGTAATCTAGTGAACTGTCACCGTCATATTGAGGCAAGAGAAAGTTTGATCACATATTTCTGCAGCTGGAGAGATGTCTTTGCATAGTTATAAGATGGGCTGTCTGAAGACATTATTGCTGCAGGTAGTTGGTTGCTTTACCAGTCTAGTTTCTGGTGTCTGGGTTGATTTTCGTGACTGATTTTTCTGAGTCTTTCAGGAGAAGTATTACCCTTGCATTCATCACCAAAATTCAAAATTTGATTTCCTCTACATACACTCTATAACCTTATTTCTGTTCCATGTAAGTGAACAGATACACTAACAGTGTTTTACTGTGTGTATGCTAACTTTGTTTTCATAATATTGCTCTCCAGGAGGAAAAGCAACTTGGTTTCAAGCTGTGCGTACATCTCATACAGACACTTTCCACACATGTAGTATGTAAATATATGATTGGTCTAGGCATGGCATGGCATGCAGTTGTTTGTAACAAGTTCCATATATAACTCTTGATATATTCAGACCTGTCTTAGTACTCATTAAAATACCCATAGCAGAACCAAGTTTTTGCAACTATTTTCTGAAATCTTGAAATACTGATGCCTTAATAAAATTTATTTGTATATTTTAATTAAACTATTAAAATATAAACTTTCATGGCAACTAAATGTAATGGGTTTTTCTTCAGTTATCAGCTGTGTTGATGTAGAATAAAACTTTGATGTTTTTGATATTGTCTTTGTCATCATTGTTATGGATACTTAACAAAAACTAAACAACTTACAGAAATTAAACTTCAAAAAAATGATTGTAGCGTGTTGGAGAAGTTATGTAATTCCAGCGATGTCCAGTAGGAATGCATCTGTTTAAATGACAGTAAAACCACAATTCAACAACAACAACAAATCAAATTTAATTTGTACATGGAGGATTTTTATGGAACTTTCTCAAAAAATTCCATTGAATGGTGGTAACAGATTTTGTGGAATGGAACTTCAGCACACAAAACATTTGTAACATTAACCTTCCAAAATTGGGCATGTATTATATTCAAGGACATAGATTGAGGAAAATACAGTGAAAATGGGGTCTAATACTTAGGCATTGTAAATATGAGCAATTACTAACTAGGTTCCACTGTGTATAGGTGTGGCGCATGCTTTAATTTACAATGTATTAATCAGTTTCAGGTTCCACATGTTGCAAATTAATTTGTTTTGGCTGAATGAAAGTTGTGTGCTGTAAGATAATATAGTGGATTTATTAACTTTCATGTGATATCATAGTTTTGAATTTGAGGTTTACAGAAATTTATTTATTGTATCAGAATTTCCACCTCTTTTGAGAATTTAAGGAAATCTGCTTTTTGAAGTATGTGATTCTTAATGAAGTTGTAAAATCAAGATACTATAAAATATTAGAGGTTAAGTGATCATTTTGCTAGATTTTAAGATATGAAAAAACTAAGCTACAGCTTTGTAAGGCATTTCTGTTTCCCATTATAAGTACTTGGGAGACCAGGCATACTTAGGGAGGAGAATATTAAAATGTATCTTAAGAAAAATAGGGTATGAAGATATGAACTGCATTTTGCAAACTGAGTAGGATGTAGTGGCAGTTCATAAAGAACAGTTTTAATTGAAAATGTGAAGGAAAACTGCTATTAAGGAGACACAGACCTTTGGGTTCAGTAAAGGCTGAGGGTTTATTGACTGGCCGTTGACTGTGAAGAAGGCAGGGTTGGTTATGTAGCTACTTACATTTATAGTAAACTGCTATAAATATTGAAGTTTTTGCATTTTGCATGAATTAACTCTTTCAGTGCTGAGTCTTTTCAGCAAGAGAAGCCTTGGTAGCTAGTTGTATCAGTGAGGCACCATAAAGGTACTGAAATATGTAGTGATGGTATGACATTTTCTGTTCCATTGACATTATTGTGTGTTAATGGTCAGACAAGAATGGGACTACTGTTTTAAGGCAAGATATCTTGATAGCATGGAAGAAATTTCTGGGTCTGATAAGAAGCAGGAAATTCCAGCTCAGAAGCACAAAAACATTTTGCTGTAGTTGCTGCAGTGTATAAAGACAGACTACATATAAATGTATATAACATTTTTCTGGACAGGGCGACAGTCGGCGAATATATGAAGCATGCCTCCAGACTATACAGACATATGCTCGCTGTAACACAGGGAGACTGAGTCTTGAGTCTGCAGCTGAGGAGGAAACATTTCATGACATTCTTCTTCTGATGGAGCTGCTTACAAATTTACTCTCAAAAGACTTCATAGACCTCAGTCCTCCAGGTGAGTTGGCCTTCACTTTTTTGGGGGAATGTAGTACCTTTTATCTTTTAAGTTATCTTTGTATCCTAGTCATTCTTCCTAAAATATGGTGTGATAGATGTTTGTTAGGTTATGTTATATAATATAATATCAGTTAGTATTTACCAGACCACATGGTGCAACATACCAGAAGACAGACATCATCATACTTGTCATCTTGAGAACTTGAATTCTCACTTTAAAATATGTACTCAGCTGATTAGCAAAGGCTATTATTATTGTTACCATGTTTTGTTTGGTGTTCCCCTTTGCTGTTACAGATGACTCTTCTAATGGAGAACAGACAGTGACAGCGGCAGATGTGTGTCTGTATGGACTAAACACTATCATGCCCCTCATGACAGTGGACCTTCTCAAATTCCCATCCCTGTGCTTGCAGTACTTTAAGATGATCACATTTGTATGTGAGATATACCCTGACAAGGTCTGCCAATTGCCCATGGATCTGCTGAAAAACCTGCTGAGCTCCATTGAACTCGGTCTCACCACATTCGGACAAGACATTATCATTCTGTGCTCTGATTTCATCCAGGTACTAGGGACCCATATCCACACCAGCAACCTGCAGAGTGCCGCCGTGTATGAGGCGCTTAGGCCACTCCTCAAGGTGAGAAGAGATGGGGGATAAAATATGTAATTTCTTGTTAACCATTTGAAGTAATGTGATTTGTTTGTAAAATATCCTTGTAGTGGTGTCATTTCTTAATATAAGGATGGCTAAGAAATCATTCAAAATGTGCCCAAGTTCAGATGCTTGAGAATGACCGTGCCATATCAGAGTTATAGCTAAAATTGAATTTGGAAACTGATTGCTGCTGTTTGATTAAGAATATTTAATCTTCATGTGCTGCACCCATGTGGTACGTCCATGACACCACCTGTGACAATCAGTTGCAGGAAAGACTCCCCTTCTTCACAGTATTACTGCAGAAACTACATGCAGATTTCCACATATGCCCATTTGGGCTCATCTGTAAGCTGCTTTGGCACCCACCTTGCAAGTTTTGATACCTGAGCTCCTCATTGATGATGAAATATGCAGCTTAAGTCCAACTTGTTGGCTATGGCAATAACAGTAATCTATCTGTTGTCTTGAACCAGAGCATTAACTTCTTCAGTTGTGATCACCATTTGTGATGTAGTCGGACACCCCAAGCGGTCATTAGTGACGCTTGTCTGCCACCTTGGATCCTTTCTACCCATTGGTACATCTTCCTTTGTATGATACAGTTTCCTCTATATTGTGTTAACACTGTTCTGTGAATTTCAGAGGTTTTTACCCCATCTGACCACAAAAATTGAATGACAGAACATAAGCTTAACAATGGTGCAATACAAAAGCAGAGCCAAACTTTTACTTTGATTGTGCAAGCTTCACTGAACATTGCGGCTACACCGCAGCATCCCTAGACTTGGCTTAGTATATAGTATGCATGTCTGCAAGAACACTTTGGCAAATTACCAGATTGTACATGCAAATTGTCCTTACTTTCTTAATTCCCTTTGTATAATAAAGAGGTGCATATTTTGTGCCATTCACTAATAAAGTGATTAAATTGAGGAGGGTTTGCTAGACAAGGCATGTAGGATACATGGAGAAATAAGGAATATGTATGAAATTTGAGTCAGAAAACCTCAAAATAAATTATCTTGTGGAATACCTAGGCATAGATTGGACAATGGTATTAAAATGAAATTGGGTGCAAGGCTGAGGACTGGATAGTAACTGGCTCAGGATATGCTGCATCGGTGGGCTGCTGTGAATATGGTAATGACCCATAAAAGCAGAAAATTATTTTGACCAGTTGGTTACATGGCTTTATAATTATAATGTGATGATGAAGTATACCATAATGACTGCTTTGTATTGCAGTTGCTCATGAACCTGATGTTATCTCGTCAGATAAACTCTGACGTACTGCCTAACACTAGCTCGGCGCTGTTTGTGTTAATCTGCTGTTACCAGGTATGTGTGCCCGAAACTTATATGCCATCATGACTTGATGGCATTTGCAAAGGTAGTCTTTGCCGTAGTGGATTTGCGTTTAAATTAATTTGTATTGATTTATATTTCTGCCAGGGTAGGCTGTCTTATTACAAAGCCTTCTATATTGTTCTCTGTCCT